CGATCGGGTTTGCTTTCGGGAGCTTTTGTTCCCTGAGCGCTTTCCGTAGAGTTCCGGAGGGCGGGAATGAAGATGGCAGCCTCCCGGTCTCCGACCCGGAGGAGCTGAGAGCCCGGGGCCCCACTCGTCAGTGCGCCTTCAGAGAACAGCGCCCAATTACTCCCGTCACCCTGGCCTCCGGCTGCGCTCCGAGCTGACCAAGCCTGCGACCGGTTCAAGGTAACCCCGAGGTTAGAGCTTACTCCTCAGCTCTGTCTCTGTAGCCGGCTTCCCCATTCTGATACCTGTAAGCTCTGCGACACTCAGACACCCCCGATCCTTCTGTGACCCTGCAACCTGAGGCCACGCTGACCCCACATGGGCTTCACCCCAGTTAAGCCTATGGAACGATGTCCCTCAGTGGAACAGACTTTTAAAAGTCCCGATTTTGTGCTCCGTTGCTCCACCGCTTGCCGGGAGCCGGCCCCTCCCCCCGCGGTCTATCTTCCCGGCGCTTTGGATTCACTTCTCTGCCAGTCCTACCTTTCAGAAAGTGGTTGATTTTCTGTTTCTAGAGTTGCTGTTCTTCTTCTCTTCGATCTCCCATTGGATTTGTAGGTGTTTGCAATCTTTAGATAAGCTATCTAGCTGATCTCCCGCTACCTGAAGTAGTCTCAGCCTGCTACTTCTCCGCCATCTTGACTTCGAATCTTTTTAGAGTTATTTCAAAGCATATACATTATTTTGTAAGAAATGGTGTTTCTGTGAGAGGTTCATGTTTGAAAGGAAAGTGTATTTAAGGGATCTGAGATTGGTCAGATTCAAAAGAGAAACTGGATAAGAGAAAGTGGATAACTTGATTGACTTGTAAATAATCCAGAATTGTGATTTCTGGATGTGACTCCGATACGTTGATTGCAAGACATTTTCTATTGTGATGTCGTTTTGTGCCACGGACGGCCTTTGCTGTGGATCAGAATGTAAGGGTTCTACCTGTTAGCTGGTTGACTAGCTGTGGATCATTTATTATCTCTGTATCAGAATTTTCTTTATAGTGATATTATAATAAAAGTTTAGAACAAGTTTTTAAGATAAAACTTCACAAATATTAGATGCTAGCATCGTAAATGTAAATGCTATGCAATTCAGATTTATCAGATTGCATTTTAGGACAAGCAATTAATATGGCTTTTTAAAAAAGATTTGATTTATTTATTTGTCAGAGCATACAGCAGGAGGAGTGGCAGGCAGAGGGTGAAGCAGGCTCCCTGCAGAGCAAGGAGCCCAAAGCAGGACTTGATCCCAGGACCCTGGGATCATGACCTGAGCCGAAGGCAGACTTAACAGACTGGGCCATCCAGGCATCCCTTAATAAGGCTTTTGACTTTTGATAAGTATAGGTAACTGAAAGCTAATTTCTTTCCTTGGCACCAAAAAGCCATGCAGAGATATATTTGGGGGAAAAAGTTCAGTGAGAAATAAAGAGAAGAGTGCATATCACATGTTTTCCTAAAAAGCTATATTAAGAATGTTGCTTTTAGATTAAATTGTGCAGAGAACTGGCATTATCTATAGTTTTTCCACCTTATCTTCCATTGACTTGAGGTTGTGCCAAAGACAGTTCTGAGAGAAGTGCTGTTCTCTGTATCTTTGAATGATTCAGATAGAGGCTTTTCAGTGAAAATAACCACTTCTGTTAAGGTTTTGTTCTAAAACAGGGAGGAAAAGTAACTTCTCTATCTGATAAGCATATAATAAGCCTCTCAAAAATTAATTTTATTTTCATTGCTTTTTTTTCTTTATTTTTAGGTCCAAAGGGCAGTAAAGCTACCAAATTTCTCCAGAGTTCAAAGCAAGAACGTACAGCCACTTGGGAGGATGTTATTCTGACTAAACCAGGAGGAATCATACAGATCCCAGGATGCTCTTCACAGAACCACTGTGAGGTGAGGAAGGAATAATTATTTTAATGAAAGAAGTTTGTGAATGATCCCTTGACAAGCAGCAAACCTTGCTTAAGGCATTATTTTCCACCTACTCTCCTTGAAAAATAGACTTTGAGGTAATCCCTGGTTTGAGGCCTTCAGAATCAAAAAACTGAGTGTAAGATTGTCCCTATTGATAAATTGTATACTTTCTCCACAAAAGAGATCATTTGCTAGGTAAAGTAGAAAGTCAGACCTCTATCAAACAGTTTTGGAGTTAGAAATAATGTATGTAGGGGCTCCTGGGTGGCTCAGTGGGTTAAGCCCCTGCCTTTGGCTCAGGTCAGGATCTCAGGGTCCTGAGATCGAGCCCCGCATCGGGCTCTCTGCTCAGTGGGGAGTCTGCTTTCCCCTCTCTCTGCCTGCCTCTCTGCCTACTTGTGATCTCTCTGTCAAATAAATTTTAAAATAATCTTTAAAAAAAAAAAGAAAAATAATGTATGTAGAGTCTTCTGGCACATACTAGATACTCAGTGAATGGTCCCTAAATTGCCAAAATAGAGAACTTTCCTTGAATTAAACAATAGAATAAGTCTAAAGTGTGAAGTGAAAAGTGAAGATTTGTGTAACATCTCAATCCTGAGTTAATTTATGTGATTTGGGGGAGTTTGGGGCAATTCAGACAAATTGCCAACCAGAATTTAGAGGACTATGCGTGATTGACCAACCATTCACCATGACAGGTGAACTGAATTAAAACTCTTAACAAATTATTAGAAATATTTGTAATGGTTACAATTTAAAATAAAAAATCCTTCTTTCACGGAAACACAAAGAAGCAGATGGCATCAATAACAGCAATGCATAGAACTCTGAACAAAGTCACTAAGAATATGTGCTATTTGGAAATCATTCCTGACTTTCTTTTATCTGTGCCATAGTTGCCACTGGAAGTTATTAGCCCCTTTACATCATGTTGTTTGCCTTGATATTATCAACTTCCAGATGAAGCTGACACCCTTGGCCTGTCAGGGTCATATGTGGGTTTATGAAGGATTGGGCAAAAAATTTATAGGTAACCAATATCCCATGAAGAATTGTGCTCTTTGTTTTTTAATGAAATAATCCCAGATTGTTTTGCATTCATTGTGACTTATAGATGATATAAATTGTGTGATACTGAAATAGCCTTACTATTTTTTAGATTTGTAATTGAGATTAAGCTAACACTCTTAAAACAAAACCCAACTTATGCTGCTTACTTGGGTCATACCTAGATTAAACTTGCCCAGAAACACTAAAAATAAAGGATGGATAAAGCAGTTTTAGACAAATGTAGCACAAAAATAATTGAGACTCTAATATTAATCAGGCAAAATGATATCTAGCAAAGAAGCATTAAATGGGCTAATTAGCTAGTAGCTAGAAACCTCATTAAACTGATTTAAACTGATTTTTATGAAAGAAAAATCCAGAGTTTTCCAGATGTGCCACTAACTCAGTAGTTCAATTCTGTCAAGACTAAGTTTATGGCAGTTCTCTTGGCTTTTCTCTAATGGTTCCATGATGGTGATTTTAGTTCACGCTAGGAAAAAGGAAAAAGGTACAGAGAAGGAGTACACCATCAAGAAAACAAACACATTTCCAAGAATCCCATAGCAGATTTACATCTCTCAACTGGGAGATGACTGAGGACAAAGGGAATGAAATGGGGCCTGAGCTGGCTGACTACCCGTATCTGATGTGCTAGATAACAGCCGTCCGGATGGAAAACTGATGGCACTGGATCCAGATCTCAGTTCTACCACACAGTAGTTAAATAATTGGGGAATGTTCCCAAAGCTTTCTCAGACACTGTTTCCTGAATTGCGACAAGAGAGTAATAAGAACTGTCTTAGCTTTTTATGTAATTTACTATCACTACCATACTTAGTCAAGGACACCTATGCCTGATGAAACCAGGTGGCTGCTCAGACAGAGAGGATATGTGGCATTATGTTGATCTTTGACTCCCTAAGAAAGACCCAGATGCCAATGTCCCTCCTCCCTCTGGCAGCTAGGATCCTGCCAGAGTTGATCAAACAGCCAATTGCTAAACCACTGTCCTTTTATTCTTTGGACTTAAATTACCACTCCCAAAGTAGATGCACTAAAAATCTCCATGTTTCTACTTAAGGAAATGTTAATAAATGCTGGTAGTTCCTGGTTCCTAAGCCCATTTACTATCAACGAGGCCTCAGCTTCTTGTGGAGAGAATGTAGAATCTGCCCCCAGTATCCTTGGAAATTATCTATACTTCCTCTCTTGATTTATAGGATGTCTGTTACTTGTACTGCCAATCAGATTGTGTTGAGAATTAAATGAGAATGCATGGTAATATAAAAGAAAGCAAGCTTCTGCCATGTTTCATTAGAAATATATGTTTTCATTCCTATTCTTAAAACTGTGTTGCTTAGGGGCGCCTGGGTGGCTCAGTGGGTTAAAGCCTCTGCCTTCAGCTCAGGTCATGATCTCCAGGGTCCTGGGATCAAGTCCCACATCGAGCTCTCTGCTCGGCGGGGAGCCTGCTTCCTCCTCTCTCTCTGCCTGCCTCACTGCCTACTTGTGATCTTTCTCTGTCAAATAAATAAATAAAATCTTTAAAAAAAATTGTGTTGCTTAGAAAAAAGATTAGACTGTTGTTTCCCTAGTGCCTTTTCATCAGTAGGGTATCAGTACACAAAGTTTGGAAGAACAAAGAAATAAAGAAAAAAGGAAAAAGAGTATATTACCTATTATATTAGTTATACTTTCTAATGTTTTTTTAAAAAAGATTTTATTTATTTATTTGAGAAAGAGAGAGAGAGCATGAGAGGGGAGAATGTCAGAGGGAGAAGCAGATTCCCTGCAGAGCTGGGAGCCTGATGTGGGACTCGATCCTGAGACTCCAGGATCATGACCTGAGTCAAAGGCAGAGGCTTTAACCCACTGAGCCACCCAGGTGCTCCAATAACTATCTTTAAAATAAATAAGACCCCTCAAGTAATTAAAAATAGAGCTTCCCTATGACCCTGTAATTGGACTACTGGGTATTTACCCCAAAGATACAGATGTAGTGAGAAGAAGGGCCATCTGTACCCCAATGTTTATAGCAGCAATGGCCACGGTCACCAAACTGGAAAGAACCAAGATGCCCTTCAACGAATGAATGGATAAGGAAGATGTGGTCCATATACACTATGGAGTATTATGCCTCCATCAGAAAGGATGAATACCCAACTTTTGTAGCAACATGGACGGGACTGGAAGAGATTATGCTGAGTGAAATAAGTCAAGCAGAGAGAGTCAATGATCATATGGTTTCACTGATTTGTGGAGCATAACAAATAACATGGAGGACAAGAGGAGATGGAGAAGAGAAAGGAGTTGAGGGAAATTGGAAGGGGAGGTGAACCATGAGAGACTATGGACTATGAAAAACAATCTGAGGGTTTTGAAGGGGCGGGGGGTGGGAGGTGGGGGGAACCAGGTGGTGGTATTAGAGAGGGCACGGATTGCATGGAGCACTGGGTGTGGTGCAAAAACAATGAATACTGTTTCGCTGAAAAGAAATTAAAAAATTTTAAAAAAAAGTTGAAAATAGAGCTATCCTACAACCAAGCAATTGCACTACTAGGTATTTACCCTAAAGATACAAATATAGTGATCAGAAGGGGCATGTGCACCCAAATGTTTATAGCAGCAATGTCCACAATAGCCAAACTATGGAAAGAGCCTAGATGTCCAAGAACAGATGAATGGATAAAGAAGATATGGTCCATATATACAACGGAATATTACTCAACCATCAGAAAGGATGAATACCAGCCTTTGTGTCAACATGGATGGGATTGGAGGAGATTATGCTGAGTGAAATAAGTCAAGCAGAGAAAGTCAATTATCATATGGTTTCAGTTACTTATGGAGCATAAGGAATAACATGGAATACATTAGGAGAAGGAAAGGAAAAGTGAATTGGGGGAAACTGGAGGGGGAGACAAAACATGAAAGACTGTGGACTTGGAGAAACAAACTGAGGGTTTTGGAGGGGAAGGGGTAGGAGGATGGATGAGCCTGGTGATGGGTATTAAGGAGGGCATGTATTGTATGGAGTACTGGGTGTGGTGCATAAACAATAAATCTTGGAACACTGAAAAAATTTAAAAAAAAGAATAAACAGAAAAAAATAAAATAAAATAAATAAGACTAACTGAAAATGTTTTGGGAGACTCAGCCCTGATTAAATTTCAAGTTAAAACCAGAGTCCCCTAAGGTTTCGATTTTTTTTTTTCTTTTGTGATGAAGTAAATTTGTCAGGGATTTTTAACAGCTCTGAGAAAGGTTTAAGGTAAATAACACAGGGAACTTTACAAATCGGTATTAGAAAAGTTCAAATCTATAAAAATAAGTTAATAGGCCCCAATATCTAAGACATTGAACAGGCCCCAATAGCAAAGATATCTGCAGCTGTGATTACATTTCAAATTAAAACTGGAGTCTCCAAAGCTCCCAGCTGTTGACCCATGTGGTTTTTGAGAACCTAAAGCCCTGGATTAACCATTAACTTCTTTTCACAGAGAAGAACCCGTCAGTTCCTGTACAATCTAAATTAAATCTCTTACTTCGTTTCTTGTCACAATGAAGTTGGTCCTCTGGACGTATGTTTACTAAAGAAAGCAGAGCTTTTCTGTAAGAGAGAAAAGCTTAGTTCTTAGGATCGTTGACTTGAAACCTTGATCCTATTGAATGTTAGAGCAAACTGCCTTTGTTAGAATGCTGGTTTCAAGAAAATACCATGTATGGTCACTTAGAGCGAGAAATTGTTTTTCATAGAAAGCACACCGATTGCTGTTCTGTGCCTCTTACTCATCCAGTTAGGCTGTGGCTAAATGAAGACTGGATGTAGCCAAGGCTCCAATACACTCCTGTATATGATTATTTTATTTCAGTCTGGTGACAATAATTGTTTAGTTCCCTGAGGACCTAGCTAGATCATGTCATCTTCTTTTATAATAATCACTTTAAAGAGATCTACCCAGGTTATTCTAGACACTGTAGGAACTGGGTCCTAGGCTCTAGTTGGTTTAGAGCCCTGTCCTTAGATGTGTTTGTATTCGGGAATCTGGAGTATCTTTCTCTTGATACTTTTTTTTTTTTAAGATTTTATTTATTTATTTGACAGAGACACAGAGAGAGAGGGAACACAAGCAGGGGGAGCGGGAGAGAAAGAAGCAGGCTTCCTGCTGAGCAAGGAGCCCGATGTGGGCCTCAATCCCAGGACCCTGGGATCATGACCTGAGCCGAAGGCAGCCGCTTAAAGGCTGAGCCACCCAGGCGCGCTCTTTCTCTTGATTCTAGTTGGGTTTTCTTCTGGTTAATTTTCTCATCTTTATATCCTTGGGAGTGGGTATGGTATAAGTTTGTAATTTCAGAAACAGGATTTTTTTTCTCTTACCTTGCTCAATACCCTTTGCTTTGATGTGTGGTAAGTTTTTGTATGCTTCTTTGCTTTTTCTTTATTTGGGGCTAGGAAAACTATGTGGAGAAAATTCACCTTCATTAAAATCTCATGGTCCTCTAGTGATGCTAATTTTCACATACAATGTCAGTTTGCCCATGGAAGAATTTTCTTTGAGATATTCTTTTCATATTTCTGGTAAATCTATTGCTTTCTTATATGTTTATTTGTATGTTTTTATTTTGCACTTTGTTAGGAAAAATCTATTGTTAAACAGATGGAATGCTCTTCTTTGTCTGCTTTAGAGGAGAAGTAAAGGACCGTGTTTAAGGTATGACTTCTATAGTCTGTGGAGGCCTCAAGCTAAACCTCTATAAAGTATAAGATTGATCAGATCTGTCATTGTTTTTTAAAGCATCAGAGAATTTTGTCTATTTTTCTGGGCACTTGGATGATTATAATATGGGAAGAAACTTTTATCCTTAGCATAAAAGTTTCGAGTAGTTTTTCTCTTTTGAAATTAATTTCCTTAATGCACTAATATATTATTTTTCACCTGTTTCATATATAGTTCATTTATATTGGTTGCAGCTAGATTATTGAAAAACATGCTTTGCCTATTATTTGCCTATGATTTGGGTGAAAAACATGCTTTGCCTGTGATTTGGGGACAGACACTGATAGCATTATGAAAAAATTGAGAACTATAAATTTGCAGTTTAGGTTTAATTCTGAACAGTTATAAGAATTGCTTTCACCCTTAAGATTAATCAATTTATACTCATTAAAAATGTTAACTGGAATATAATTGGAGAGGGATTTCTACTAAAAGTATCTAATTTAGTCTGGTAACAGCTCTGCCTACTAGAGTTTATAGTCTAGTGGAGATAGTCAATAATCAAATCATATAGGAAAATGTAGAGTAAAAAAAACCTACTGTTTTGAAGGAAAAATACGGTGTACAGTAAAAATAAACAATGGAGGGATTTATTTAGTTTGGTAAAGGATGGCAATGGGATTGTAGGAAAACTTTAGTTTCTTTGTTCTCTTATCACAGAACCCCGTGAGATTTACTTTTACTCCTCTTTTGCCCTCATTTTTTTTCTTAGATCCTTTCCTGTAGGCCTTTCTTTGTTACCATTCCATAGGTATTGGTCTTACCAAAGTTACCAATGACTTCCCCAAGTCTTCCCCAAGTCTAGATCCAAGAGATCCTTCTCAGCCCTAACAACGTTTGGCACTGATGAGCCTTCCTTCCTTTTAGAATCTACTTGTCTTGGCCTCCAGGAAATCATTCTCCTTAGCGGTCCTCTTACTTCACTGATCTCCTTCAGAGTCTCTGGGCTGGCTGCTCTTTTTGGTTTCCTTACCACTAAAGGTAGAAGTGTCCCTGGATCAATGCCTTGACTCTCATTTCTTCTTTACCTGTACTCACTCCTTAGTGACCTTACCCAGTCCCTAGCTTTCACTACCGTCAATATGCAGGTTACTCCCAACTTCTTTTTTATTTTTAACCTCCAGCTCTGTATCACCAATTGCTTCCTCCTCCCCTTGGATATCTGATAGGCATCTCAGACTTAATGCTGTTATCTCCAAAACCTGCAGCTGTGCCCAGTAAATAGCTGGTGCCCAATAATTCTTTGAATAAAGGAAATGACATTTCAGCTGGGGCAGACTGGGGAGAAGAGGGTAAGGCGGTAGCTCCATATCCAGTGAGCGGGTAATAAATGCATCCATTTGCTTATGGGAATGCCGCTGGCTGAGATCCAATGTATGAACAGGACTCAACTCAGGAGACTGTTATTATATGTATTCAACTTCTGTGATCAGATAAACACAGGAAACCATTAGTGCAGACATTTTTACAATGACAGCAAAATCTATAGCCCTTGTCTGTAGTTTATAAAAATCTGACTCATCATTCATATTTTTGAAATTACAAATAAAAATATATCAATACAAATTGTATCTATGTGAGTCAAAAATATAAAATCATTATAATTTATATGAAATATCTGGTAGTATGGAAAAATAGTCACAATAAATTAAATGGGGGAAAAAGGCTTTAATGGTGTAAAGTGGTATACAATTTTAAAAAAAATGTGTACTTAGCATAACAGAAGACCTAGACAGATTTATGTTAAAACATGAATATTGGTTATTTACAGGCTGGGACTACAGGAGACTTTATCTTCTTTGAACTCTCTTTATTTTGAAATTTTTTATAAGGTGCATATATCACTTTTATAATCAGAAAAATAAAGAAATATAAAGTATTTAGTTGGATGTATTGACACTGAATATTCTCTTATTCTAGATTCCATAAGAGGAAAAAATAAAGTTGATAATAAAGGTAAGACCATAATGGAGGTAAGGAATCCAGCTGGCTTGACTTTGGTTATATGATATTATTAAAATAGAGTGGAAAATGCCCTTGCTGCTAAGTACTATGCAGTAAGAAGTGTGATCTGACTTCTGTCAAAATGTTCAGGTGTTTCAACTCGGGTCATGATCTTGGAGTCCTGGGATCGAGCCCCACATCGGGCTCTCTGCTCAGCAGGGAGCTTGCTTCCCCCTCTCACTCTGCCTGCCTCTCTGCCTACTTGTGATCTCTCTCTCTCTCTGTCAAATAAATAAAATCTTTAAAAAAAAATGTTCAGGTGTTTGTGACCTGATTCTAGTTACTTTATAGTAAAGTGAGTATTTGTATTAATTTCCTTAATGTCAAACTTTGAGGGTAGTGGAGACCTGGGGCTCATTAGAGAGTAGAGAGTGAGCAGGTAGCACCTTACTCAATTAATGGGTGAGAAACACATCTGTTTTGTTAATGGGATCCCTGTAGCTACTTGATTCTATTCATTGCCATTCTTTCCATATATGTTGTGTCTTTTGAAGTAAATCAGTTTTTGAATGGCATTGCTTTTAGGTTGGATGAACCTAGGACTTTTGGAGAAGGCCCAAAATGTCACTGAATTCTTCTATTCTCTTTCTTGGTTTAGCCTCTTAGCCCATGAATCTTAATGTCTATCTTTCAACTGTCTGAGAGCTATCCAAATTTCCCTAACTGATAAATGTTTGCAACTTGAATTGTACCTGCCATGAGGCTGAGCTTGAGAAGCACTTAATTTATTCACGAATCCAGTCTAATGAGGACCCAAGTCTGCTTCTTAACCTGCTTGCCTTGTTCTCTGCTCTCATTCTATGGTGTCGAAGTTCTTTCTTTCAGCACTGTATGGGAAATGAAATATTACTGTGGCATTTTCAAATTAGGACATATGTGTTGAATATCACAGTGATACGTCACTATCATCTATGGACTGAAGATGATAAAACCTATTTCTCATGATCATGAACATTAAGATTGTATATTAATTTAAATATAAGCAAAAAATTAAATTGGGATGTGGACGTGGGTGATTTAGTAGTTCAGTTTGTGAAATGAAGTCAAAGAACTTCAGTCTGTCTTCTTCAGGAGGGGTCAGTTTTTCAAAACAAAAGTCATTTAAATCCTGTGTCAGTATACATAAGGAACTATGGATACAAAGAAAGAGTGACAGATTAATACAAGTACACTACCACTTAGGTTGTAATGACCTAGTTGCAGACACTAAAACTAGATACAAAAAGTAACGCAGCTCCTTGATCATTGTATTAAATAATTTTTCTCTTTTTTGCCTCAAGGATGTCCAGTATTGGATTTGATTCCAGTTAGTTCTACTGAGATCACATCTCCCAATTATCCTAACATATATCCCAACATGCTGAACTGCACTGGGAGTTTTCATTCCAAATCAGGAAATAAAATGAAGGTGGGGATTAAAGACTTTACAACAGAAGAATCTTGGAACTGTGAATGGGATTATTTCAGTATTTATGATGGACCAGATCAGCAATCAAGATTACTTGGTAAACTGATCTTTCTTAGATGGCCTACATTAAGTGGCATTTATGTAAGCAATTATACAGTGCATATATATTGAAAATATGACCTATGTGAGCTTTAGAAGAGGTATGATTTGTTGTCAGTGATTTTTCATGACCTCCTTCCTCAGAATCGCAGAGCAGTATTGAGCACATGGGATGAGCCTGAACCCACGCTCCCTGGATCCTCGCCTGTAATTCTTGCTCTTCCTGATTTTAGCCACTTTGCCTATCTCATTTTACCATTAGGGGGCACCCGAATTTTGTTTTTCTCAGGAGGTCTTGTATTTTAAGAGGTTTCAATTTCTGAACTGCATTTCTGTTAACTCTTTGAGAATCTGTTCACTCAGGTTTCATCTTCACTGTAAAAGTAGCCCTTTTTAGGCACAGGGTAAGTTTAAAGGGAGAAAAAAGCCAATTAGTTTAAATAATTTTTAGGGACTTATTGGCCACATGGGTCTGTCACACAGTCATCAGGCAACATCCTGTTCTGAGACTGACTCATAGGGGAAGATTTTTCCAATGATTTTGTCATCCAGTACTGCATCTCCTTCAGTCTCCAACAAGTCCTGCTCCCAGGATGCCCTTACAATCTGCCTATCCCAAAGAGCAAGAGGAGAGTTTTGATACAATCTTTTTCTAGGACCTTGACCTCTCCTGTGATATTACAGGATATATAACACCAATAAGCTCAGCAATTTGCTTTGAAATTCTAAAGGTACTTAACTTTTTCTTACCAGGGAATTTGGTTCCTGTGAAGGAACTCAAGCAATTAGAGTGTTGTGGGGAGGAGGGCAGATTCAACATTTCAAGCTATTAGTTCTTTAAGATTAATATGCACACCAGATCCTGTAATCCTGCCTCTAGTGCCCTTCAGCCAAAGACACTGGGATCAGTGAGAGGATGTTAGAGCCTATTACAGGATTTGGGCTTTGGTTAGGTAGTTTTGGAGAGGGTCTAAGGAAGTGGGCTTGGCTCTAGATTGGTTGCTATTAGGAAATGGAGCAATTTTATGATTGGGATCTCAATCACAGGGAGGTCTGGCTCAAATAAGGATAAAACTGCTTTTGGTAAAGAAGTGGCAAGCCCCCATCTTAGCTAAGAGAGGTCGATGTTTGGTGTTTGGGTGGTTGCACATGACCTTGTTTATGTCTCACATTACCATAGATTCAGAGTCCTGTCTGATGTTGCTGTTCTGGGAGCTTGTTTATGTCCAGCAGAACAACATGATCTAGCTGTGAGTGCCAAACCCATTTCTGAATGTCAGGGACTGCTTTTCTCTTTCTTACTCTTTAGTATTCTTCCATCTAGCAACACTATTCCTCTTTTAAAGTTCTGATAAATTGGAGCGCCTGGGTGGCTCAGTGGATTGGGCCTGCCTTTGGCTCAGGTCATGATCTCAGGGTCCTGGGATTGAGCCCCACATCGGGCTCCCTGCTCAGTGGTGAGCCCGATGCTTCTCCTTCTCCCCCACTGCCTGCCACTCTGCCTACTTGTGCTAGCTCTCTGTCAAATAAATAAATTTTTTTAAAAAAAGTTCTGATAAATTAATTCAGAAGTGTCAAATGATTATAAGTAAGACTGATCATTTTTATAATCAGCTTATATTAATCTCTATAAAGGAAGCTACCATTAGTTCGATAGTCTATATAATTTTATTTCATGCAATTTTATGTATTTTTATATACATTTATAATGCATTTCAATGAAATTTATATGCATTTCAATGAAACATGCAATTTATATAAGTATTTTTAAACCAAAGAACTTGGATTCCCATTGCTAATCTTCCAGCTAGTGAAATGGGCTATCCCATATATGGAAGCACATTATCTTTTCTTTCTTTTTTTTTTTTTAAGATTTTATTTATTTATTTG